CTGATCTGCGTGCGATATCAAAGGCAACGACCTGCAGAAGTGCCCCATCATGCTGGTGGGTAACAAATGCGGTGAGAGCAGCTGTGAGCTGACCGTATGGGATGACACTGCCTCTGACTTGGAGTGGAATTGTGCCAGCGTGGAGACCTCCACCAAGATGAATAACAAGGTGCAGGAGCTGTTTCACATGCTGCTGAACCATGAGAAGCCCGCCACCTGCCTCCAGCCTCCCCAGAAGAAATCTCAGATGCTCAAGACCACTGATCAGCTTCTTGACATCACGTGAGTCCTGGGCCTTAGGAGCCCAACTTTCTCCTATATTATGCAGAAAACGTGGGCCAGTGCCAGTGTAATGTGTCACCTGTACTGTGAATGGCTTTTGTGCTGTGGTTTGGGTTCTAACAATTAGATGTCAGTAAATGTCCCTTGTAAATTAAGTTTTCTTCTTACTAGGCAAGGGAATTCAAATTGTTAATACATTGATACTGGGGGAGAGGAAAAGAGGAAAGGATGTGTTGAAAGAGTAAGACTTGGACAGACTTCAGAGACTGATATCTGAAAAAGAGAAATGCCAAAAGGAATTGAAAGATGCCACTGCCTTTCTTGTAACCCTGTTATTGTTATATGTCTAATCACATCTTTCCATTGTGTATTTAATTGTTAGGAAATGTGTTCTTGCAACATAAATGTGGACAGATGACTGTAGGACAGGTGTACTAAAAGAGATGAATAAATGAATGTTCTATAGCTGAGCATTGAAGGCAGGAGTAGAGAAATTTGTGAAAGTGGAGCTTGCTTACTAAAGATGTACCAGTTGTTTCCTAAATCAGTTAAAAATGTTTAAGTATTTCACATAGCAGTCTTAAAAAACTTATTAACACTCCTGTGACTTAGTAACACTTTTCCTGCACACAGGGAAATGTAATAATTACTTTCCCTGGACAACAATAGAATTACCCATCACATTAAAATTTTAACTTCATCTGGTGAAGGTTTCTAAGAAGGAATGGCCTGCCTTCTTGAAATTAGGTTGGGGAGAGGGGAAGCCAGCATGGCAGAGCTGGTTTGTATCCATGACCTTTCCTGGACCGACATGCAGAGGAACTCCAGGCATCTTTGAGGAGGATGCTCACTCTGCTGCTGTCTAGGAGACAGCTGGTGGAAAGCAAATCCCAGCCTTGGCTGCCTTGAAGGTTTTCCCTCAATAAATATGTATATAGGGGGTGGGGAGGAGGATGAACAGTAAATGAAGAAATGAGCAGGATTTAAAATTTGAGAAACTCCTCTTTAAGGAAGTTGTTTAAATGATTATTTTATATTTGAATATAATTTTCTGAGTGAGGGAATACATATCTATGCATGACCTTGCTTTTGAATATTTTTTCAGTTGGGGAAAAGAGAGAGGGGGAGGCTCTTAATCTGGTGATTTTTTTCCATACAACACTTATTGAACAATATGTGTGTGTTTTTAAAAATGGTTCCTTACAGCTTCATTTTTAGGGAAGAGACACTGTTGAGAAGGAATCATAAATATATATTTACTAATACAGAGTTTTCAGCTTAGAAAATCCATTCTATGGCTCCTTTTAAATAGTCAGTGATTTAAGGTTTTCTCTACTTACTTTCAAAGCAATTATTCTTAACTACTAGAAAATATATATACCTTAGTGGTTCTACCATATAACTTTTCATGTACTCTATTTAGAACAAAAAAAAGTTTGTAACTAAAATCCCTAATGAAGTAATGCCATTTCTAAAAGACTATACTCTCTCTTGGCTACTAAGTAGCAATACTACCCTTTACATTGGGGAAGACATGTTTTTAATACTGCAACTAATGCTTCATAAGAAATATTTTAAGGTTATAGCAAATATTTATATAATCTTTTTAAATGTCAATGTTTCCACATTATGTCAGAGCAAACATACACTGTTTTTAATGTCAGTGTTCTACAGCTTATTGTTTAATCCTCACAACAATCTGATGAAGTGGATGCTTATAAAGGTTAGAAAACCAGTAAGTGGCAGAGCCAAAGTTTGAAGCTTCCGAGTCTGTGCTCTTAATCACCACTGTGTACTTCCTTTTTAAGATGCTGGTCAAAGGCTGAATGAGCTGATTTTCTGTCCTCTATATTATATGTATGTGGAAAAGAAAGCTTCCTCAGAGTCCCCCTCGACTCCAGATTGGAGGCAAAAAAAAACAAATCAACAATTGTAACAATTGTCCATAGG